CACCTACGCTGGTTGGTACAAAACGCATCTGCGCTGTGGGCCTTCTGTGTCTTTCATCATTGCACAGATGGTGGAAGACAAATGGGATGATGTTCACGGTCCTCTGCATCACCACACAACGTTCTGCGTGGTCGATCGGGTTGCAGTAGCACTGCACTACCTGTCGCACTCGGATGGGTACAGCACCACTGCTACTGTGGCATCTCTTTGACGTGTGCGAGGCAGTACTGTGTCCAAGTGTGCAAAGTTATCCGTCAGCGCTATCTGAGTGCCGTTGTTTGCCTGCCGACGCGCCGCCCTGATTGGGAGAAAGTTCGGTTGGGGTTTGTGTCCGTGATGGGCTTCCCCAATGCGTATGGGGCTATTGATGGGTCCCTTGTGCCTATCAAACGTTTCACAGACCACACGGGGTGGTATTGTCGAAATGGGTTCCCCGCGTTCAACATACAAGCCGTTGTGGATGACAAGTTGAAGTTCATGTCGTATTCTATCAGGTCAGGAAGCCAGAATGACAAGGCTCTGTTTCGTGACTCGTGGTTTGGCAAGTCCTCCCCTCCCCTTTGGCGGCTGCATCCTCGGTGACGCTGGATACAAGCTGTACAACCATGTGATGACGCCGTATCCAATTCGTTGGGGTATGCCTCAAGACGAGGTCCATTACAACCACGTCCACAGTTGTTCACGAATGGTGGTCGAAAGGGCATTCGGAGTATGGAAAAACACATTTCGATTGTTTCAGGTAACGATTCTACAATGCCCTCAACAAGCAATAACTAGCCCACTTAACTCAAATTATTTGTTTTAGGTGACTCTTTTGCATGGAACTCCGGAAGAAATGACCCTCCTCATCGAAGCAACCCTCGTTCTACACAATTGGATGATTGATGAAAAAGAAGCTGCCTTGGAGGCCATTACAATTCCTTCTCCTAGTGAATACGAGGACTGGATGCACATCGGGGGTGATGTGATATACGATAGTGAAAAAAATCAAATAGATGGCGTAGAAGCAGTAATCACACGTGATCACATTAAAGCGTACATTACCAATTACACGTAATTGGTGTTTTCATCACGAGTATTTTCGTTGGGATTGTTTAATGATGCAGCGCGACACCGATAATGGATTTTCATCAATAATATTTGCGTTGGAATTGTTCTATGAAGCACAGCAACGTCGCGATGCCGCGATGTGTAGATGAAGTGCGGTGCAAAACAATATATAGTATGTATGTTCAAAACAATTATTCCGTAAATTTATTCATGAGAAACGCTAAAAGTTGCCCTTGAAGCTCATTACCCCGTTGCAGTGCGATCTTAGTTTCTTCTTGGACGGCATCAGATTTGGCTAGTGCAGCTTCAGTCCTCTCGAGTATCGCGCTAAACCCGTTGGGCTTATCCGGTGACTCTTTCGAAATGATAGCGGCTTCCACCATCCCTTGTGCGAGTGCAGCATCGAGCGACATTAGCCCCGCCCCGACGTCTGTCTTGCCGTGCTTCCGTAGTTGACGGTGCCTGTCGACTTCACCCGCAACAATGCGTTTTCGCTTTCGTTCTGCGTCGTCGACGCGGAGGTCGCCATCACCATCTTCAACAGCACTGCCGTTGTTGACGTCCCACAGTGAACTTGGGTTTTCGGTGCCAAATTCGAGATGTCCAATTCCTTTCATGTCCCCGAACGCAGTGACGAGGTGTTCCCAGTAGCTTGGATACTCGATTGGATTCTCGATGTCATTTCCAGTAGC